TAAAGGGTTCTTGGTGTGCAGCTCATGCAAGTGTGTCCAGGTATGGCTCTCTTCCTGTTGAGTTTACTATATATGTAATCCTCATCTGATTATTGCTGAGCAGGATGTTATCAGCCTATGGCTGGTTCTGTACCTTGAATTCCTAAATTGGGAACTGCAGCCCCATTTAGTATGTAAGCAAATCAAATTAACTAGGAGGAGAGCAGCCAGTCACAGCATCCAGGCTTCAATCAGTCACCAGCAGCAACAAAGCACACTGTGCCCACTGCCAGTCTAGTGCTTTCTCTGCTTGGCTTCTGTATGTCTACAAATGCTACTAGTAACACTGCTGGGCAGAGTTCTCGAAACCCCCTCTGGTGCTCGGTGCTGCCAGACTCATGAATCATTCCTAGCTCAGACCAACTCTGCTAAATTTGATTCGTCCAAAACATTTCTGTTGATACTCGTGTGTCGCCAGCGTTCAACTGAAGATAACACAGGGCACAAGTGGAAGCGGTGTAACAGCCAATCTTAACTGTGTTAACTTGACTGCATTGAGCAACACCACAGGATTAGCAAGCCCACTTCACAGTGCATTTCTGTGGTCGCAGAGTTGCAATCTGGGGCACCATATCCAAACCCTCACCCCTTCCTCTCTGGGGCTTCACCCTGCTCTGTTTCCCTCCACTGTGAACTCAGCATCTCTGCTCCCCCCAGGCCCCTCCCAACCTGTTGATTCTGCCTTGAAGCCAGGTGACCATGGGACTGAGTCCTCTGAAACTGTGGACCAAATTAAACCCCCTCATCTTTTAAACTGTGAGTATTGGGTGCTGCATCCAGCAACAGGAAAGCTGACTGATATAAGCAGAGATGTATTGCAAGATGCTAAATTATTTATAAAATTACCAGGACAACAACAAAAAAGATCCCAGGCCTGCGCACTTCATTCAGTAAAGGAGGCACACATAAGTACTGGATACTTGAGATGCGCCTAGACTCAAGAGAGATATGCTTTAGTACAGTGGGACACAAACAATACAAATGTGATCCTATGTATCTCAGTAATATTCTGTACTGCCTGCCAGTGAATATTATAATGGGTTTGATATACTGAGAAAGGTGAATTATGAGAATTAATGCAAAAAAAGAAAATAGTGAATATACACTGGAGTGTCATTCAGACATAAAGAAAATCATACCATGCGGGAAAATGGCTGGGACTTGAGACCACAGTATTAAGTGAAATAAGGCAGACAGAAAGTTAAACATCATATGGTTTCCCTTGTGTGAGAAACCCAAAATAGAAATAAATAAGGAATAAAGAAGAGATGGTAGGAAACAAGAAGGCAGATTTATTAGAGATAGAAAAAGAAGATCAGAGAGAGGGGAGAAGACACAGGACGGGAGAGGAATAAAGAGACTGAAAATTATCAAGATAATGCTACATCCACATCCCAGTCCTCCAAAATAAATACAATTATGATTCCCTGCAAAATACAATAAAAAGAGGAAAAAGAAAATTTTACTTACTCTTACTATATCAGGGGAGATACATTTATCCCACTATAATACAAAGATACCGCTGGCGATGTAGGAAGAAACCACAAAGAGGTGAGAGAAACACTGCAGTATAATGGCAACAATACTGCTAGGTGATAGCTCCACTAGAATCTTCTGGACTACCATCCAGCACATGGTCAGTCATTGACCAAAATGTTATGTGGTGTGTAACTGCAGTATATCCTTTCTTTTTAATCCTTTCTTTGCTTCATCTTTTTCTCATCATTTTCTCTACTTCCTGTGGGATTTTTCATGTCCTGTTGTTCAATGACCATGATTTTTTTTTTATTTTCTTTTTTTCTCTATTTTCTTTCTCCTATCTTCTAACTTCTTCCACTTTCTAACGTCTGTCATTTTCTTTATTTGAACTATCTTCATTAAAAAATATATATCCATTTAAAATGTTCAGTTCAATGGATTTTTTTGTATATTCACAGAATTTTGTGTCCATCACCACAAGGTCTTGCTAGTTCAGGCTGGCTTTGAACTCACTATGTAGCCTAGGCTGGCCTTGAACTCGGCAGTCTTCCTGTCTCAGGCTCCTGAGTGTTGGAATTACAGAAATGCTCTACCATGTGATGCTGCTTTAACCATCACCTCCATATTCCCACAATTTCTTAGTGTTAGGTAGCCACTACTAATCGCCTTTCTCTCTCTGGTAACCTGCTTATTTTGGACATGTCACAGATCAGACGATATATGGTTCTTTGTAATTGCTTCTTTCACCTAGCAGTTTCATCAATCTTATGTATAAATACTATTTTTGTTGTCAACTAGGTATCACATTATCCATTCATCAGTTGAAAGATATTTGAGTTGTTTCTATTTGGTGGTTATTATAAAATAATGTTTTCTTTTTCTTTTTTTGTTTGTTTTTTGCAGAACCGGGGATTGAGCTCAGGCCCTTGCACTTGCCAGGCAAGCGCTTATTCTACTGAGCTATCTTCCTGGCCCCTTAAAACAATGTTTTGATGAACAGTCATGTGAAGATTTTTGTGTAGACATGTATTTTTCTTTCTTATGTGTAAGTGCTAGATCATATGAAAACTCTGGGGGACCTGCCAGTTAGCTCAGTTGTTTAAGCACCTGCTCATGCAAATACAGTCAGGTGCAGGATACTGCAGTTTGAACCCCACTTCGATCTGCCTTACCAGACCTGCCCTTAAGGCAGGCTGGGAGTGGGGGTGGGGGTGTGGGGTGGGGAGGTGGAATCCTTCTCATATGAAAACTCTGTGTTTAAGCTTTTGGAAAACTGTCAGAGTGTTTTCCAAAGTGGCTACTACAGCACTGCATATACCTATTAGCAAAGTATGTGTTCCAATTTTTCCAGACTCTTACATTATTTCATTTGTATTTTAATTATAATCTTGCAAGAAGACATGAAGTGGTATCTTGTGATTTTGATTTGTATTTCCTAATTATACTAAATATTTTAAAATTTTCACTATATAAAATTCTGATAATATTTTAATATCTCACAGAAAGATGGGACAATATGGATGGAGGAGATTTTTTGTATAATTAATTCCATGTTTTTTGGCCTGCTACTAAATTCTACATAAAGAACAAAGCACAGTTACACTGGGCATAAGAATAAAATCTGAAACCAGGCATGGTGGCACATGCCTGTAATCCCAGCACTTGGGAGGCTGAGGCATGAGGATCCCTGCAAGTTCAAGTCCAGCCTGGATGATGTAAAGTTCAAGGCCATTCTGAACTACAAAGTAAGACCCCATCTCAAAAAACTAAAAGAAAAATAAAGTAAAACTCTGAGAATAAAAAACAACTAATTATAATTTTTCTGTTTTTGGACCATTGTTTTTTAATTCCTAATTTTTTTTCTATTTAGATAGATCTTTCTTTTGAAGATTATGTTTGTGGCCCTAAAATTCAACATAGAACATTAGAGAAAAAAATATTAATTGCCTTTATTCCTCAAGTAGAGCAACAAGTACTTACTCATCAAAGTTGAGGGTGTTTGTCCAGTTCAGCACTTCATCCACTTCCCATTCCATCACGGAATCTATCCCACCTTCTTCCATGGCTCTTATGAGCCCCTTTGTTGCTGTATGAATTAAACCTACAGTTTCATAGTGAGTGGACTTGGCCTCTAGGCTGCCTGCGTAGTACCTAAATGGAAGGGAAGAGACGGAAACCCTTTCAATGGGTGATTACAAGTACATGTATTTGATAAATACTATTACCATTTCTGGATTGAAACTGCACTGTTAAGTTTTCATCTTATAACTCAGATGTACCTAAACTAAGAACCATGTGAAGGAATACTGGAGGGGGAGAGGTAAAGTGACTACATTAACCAGAAAACCTTCTAAGAAATCACCTGCCCTTAAGTTGCATTTTTAATTTTTTTATTAATGCCACAATTAATGTTCAAACATTATTACTATCCACATATTAAAGAGCACATACAGTAGTTGTTTGTGTCTGGCTCCTTTTGCTTCCCATGTGATCCCCAGCTCCTTCCATTGGCCCACTCTATTGTGTATCTACACCACTTTTTTACCCATTCATCTGGATAGACACCTGGGCTGGTACCACATCATAGCTATTGTGAATTGTGCCGCAGTAATGTGGGTAGCCCTACAGAATGACTTCCTACTGGTCTATACGTAGGAATGGTATGGCTGGATCAAATGATAGCTCTATTTTTAGTTTCTGGAGGAAACTCCATGCTGATTTCCACGGTGGCTTACTAGTTTACATTCCTCCCAGCAGTGTAGAGGTGTGGAGGACCACCACACCGCCCCCTCCCCAGACCCTGGGGTGAGTGTGCTTACAGGTGAGCAGGGCAGGCTATATGGAGGTGACCTCCCTAAGTTGGCTTGCCTTAATTAATGAGTCTGACTGAGGCTGTATATGTGTTTTCATGACAGAAGTTATGAAGCGAGGTTCCCTGAGGCCTGTGTGACTCCAGAGGAGTCCGATTCTTCCCAGAATCAGCTACAAAACTCTATACATTAACCATAACCTAGTTCTGGTTCTTCCTGTCCCTTTCATAAGAAATCCCTGTTCTCTCTCACTTAAGCCTTGCCTGCCTTGCCACTTGCCCAGTGCACCCAGCTGCCATTTCCCTCCAAGTGAGTGTGACGTATAGATACCAAGGTTTGGCTTCCTGGTGGCCTCTCTTTCCCTGTGAACAACTGGTCATCCCAAATCTCAGCCGCACTGCTATTTTGTCTCTTGCTCTTCTCACTTTGCCCTGAAACACCTGGCAGGAAACTGGAGCTCACTGAAGAGGTATATACCACAGGCTCACTGCCAACTAAGTCTGTCTAGTTATTGAGAACTGTCTGTTTCATCTAAGCCTCCTCAGAGGGCATTCACAGGGGACCCTGTGAATATAGCATTTGTGTCTATTTTGAATGTAATTCTTCCTAAACTAGTCACCAGTTTTTCAATTTTATTTGTTCCAAATGCTGGGATATGAGGGCCACCTGGCTGTGACATATGTCACCCCATCAATTGCCAGGGTTGATTCAGCTGGCTAGGCAGGTGTCCCCTTTCTCCCTCAGTGATCCAGGTTTGTCCCTCCTGAAGCTGCGCTCTTGGTGGAAGAGGATAACCACTCCCAATAGAGGACTGTTCCTCGGTCAGGGGTCTATGAGCAGCCTCACTCCCCTGCTAGAACCTCCAAACAAGCCAGATGCTAATCCACTGATTAGCTATTAGCTACTGCTCACAGTCAGTGATTTCCATACATCAGGCTATTTCCCCTTCTACATGCAGTTGAAAATCAAAGGCAGTAGTGCCCAATGAGAGGATCCTTGGAGCATTGGTGGGGCCAACTGGAGGATATCCATTTGGGGATGTGCCAGCATCCTGTACAGATCCACAGTAATTAGGTGTGATATGCTTTACTTCTATTAACTTGACATAGCAACTTCCTGTGAGGCCAAAGCATGAAGACGACACAGAGGTATCTTAGCATCAGTCATAGTTGAAGGGATATGAGTCCCCTGCTCATGAGTTTACTTGGGTCTTCTATATTTTATCAGACCCATTCTCAAAAATTTTTATACAAAAACAATGTTATATATACTCATCTTTATGGTTCAATGGATCAGACAGAGTGAGGTCAGTTCACGGTCACAAAGCATTTAATATCCTATTGTCAAACACTGGCTTTTTGCTAGGACCCAGTGGCACGCCTGCATCTGGCTTTCTAATAGAGACTAGCTTTCGGTTCAAGAAAAGTATCACCTTATTCTAAAACCCTAGAGGTCTTTGACATGATTCTCCTTCTTGGACTTTCTTGAGGTTCCATATAGTATTCCATGGTATGCTACAGACCTCTCCAGGGAGTTGGGGCTGCTAAGCCATAAAGCCCCAGCGACAGGCAGCTTGACCCCATGCTATAGAGTTCTTTCTTGCTCTGTGTACCAGTGCAATCTAGTGACTTTACTAATAAATGGTTTTGAGCCCAGATTTAGTGACTTAGTGAGACTGACTCAAAATGAAAAATTACAAGACAGGAGGGAGAGCGTTTGGTTCAGCCTCAGTACTGGAGGGAATGTGATGGAGTGTTTCCCCTCTTCAAGGAAGATGATACAAGGTATGACAGCTACTTGATTCAATTTAGAAAAGATATCTCAAAACGTCTGTAGGCTTAAGATAGGTTCCACACTAACTTTTTGCAAAATGTACTGTTCTTTTCTAGTGCATATCTGTCCCACTCTGCTACTGAGGGAGCTTATTTTCTGTTCCTTGCGCCCAGGTGGTACAGTAAGGTCATCAACAGGATAGACAGGTATGAAGTTCTGTATGAATGAAAATATGCAAGCTCTTAGGCATGAGAGCAGAAAAAGTGATACTGTTCTGAGTGTAAGAGATAAAGATTCATTCTGTTCTTTCCATGCAAATGAAAACTGCTTTTCACTTAGTGATTTAGAGGAAGAAAAAAAAAATTCAGGTCAGCAATGGCAAACTTAGCACCAAGGCCTGCTCTGATTTGCTCTGTTAAAGACATCACATCTGGAGGCCTAGCTGCAATTATGTCTATGTCACCTGTGTCCCTCTGTTGCATTATTCCCAATCATCTGAAGCTGCAGTCCCCAACCTTTTGGGTATTAGAGACTGGTTTCTCAGAAGATGATTTTTCTGTAGCCTATGGAGGAGGTTTCTGTTTTTATTAATGTGCATTTACAATACGTGATGATTATACTCCCTGGAATTAGCATTAATGCCTCGGCTCTGCCTCTGATCATCAGGCATTAGATTCCCCAAATGACTGCACAGTACAGATCCCTTGCACATGCAGTTTGCAGTGGGGTTCATGCTCCTAGGAGAATCTGGTGCCACTGCTGACCTGACCGGTAGTGGGGCTCAGGCAGTGATGTGAGCAGTGAGGAGTAGCTGTATGTACAGCTCACCACTTGTTTCTGGCTGTGTAGCCCTGTCCTTGCTGGCCTCCAACTGCTTCTGGTCCTGATTCATTGCCTGGGGCTTGGGGACCCTTGAGCTGAAGGAACCAGTTCCATAACAGCTTTGTGTCCCATCTTCTCCATACAATAAAGGACGGACTTTGCAAGAATTCTTCCATTCTACTCCACAACTCATTTCTTAATAGCTTGATGAACATGGTATACTCTGGGGCCTCCCAGGGAAACAACTAGTGGAAGGCAACGCTTTATTTAAGAAACTTAGATTCAGGCTCCTCATAATACAGTGGTAAGTTCTTATAACTCTTGATTTATAAGCTATATGTAGTTAGACTAGTCCTTGTACCTCCTTGTCTGGGCCGTCCTGAGCTACAACTCTCATTGTAAGCTGGAGGCCACAAGGGAGATATAGGGGAATACTGAGGAGAATCAGCAGGAGCTTACATGGCACAGCACTGTGGTGACGGAAAGCACTGTATGCAGGAGTGGGCTGCTGCTTTCCTTAAAAGGATTGGCAAAAATTTCCTCCACTACCAACGGACAGTGGAGGCTTATGCCTAGCCTTGCCTTCTGAAAGGACTCCTCCCAAGCCTCAGGATTCTCCTGTTTCTTCACGAGCCCCTGTTCGAATGTGGGAAACCTGGCAGGGTCGAGTCCTTGGATGCGCTGAAGGCCTCATAGCTCCGTGCCCTGGGAGCTGGGCTGCCCTTAACTCACCTGCAACTACAAGAGACACAGAACTACTTCAAAGCTGCCTTGAAGATCCTCTGCTTGTCTGCCTCTACATTTTAAAATTTTTTTACAAGTATAAGCTATAACTTCTGTATAATAAACCATATATTTGTGCAATTTGAAGGTCTACAAATATACACACCCATGAATATATCACTAAAATAAAATTTGAAAAAGCCTGTCTTAGTTACTTTTTACTCATTGCTAGGACAAATACCTGACACTCAAAATGAAGGAAGGAAAGGTTTATTTAGCTCACAGTTGCTGGAGGGTTTAGTCCATATTCTGCTGGCTCCAAGGCAAATGACAGCAGTTCATGTAGCACAAAACAATGAAGAGCAGAGGAGGAGCAGCAGCTGTGGCATCCATCAAGCCTCTCCCTTCTACACTGACTGCAAAGACCAGCGATCCACAGTGAAGATCGGAGCGCCTCCAAAGTGGAGCTCCTCCAAAGTGGTGCAGCTGCCAAGATCAAGCTCCTCCAAAGACTGACGCTTCTCCACAGAAGCAGGGTGGGGTGTCAGGAGGCAGGAAGTCAGGCAGGGTGGCAGGAAGCCTTTCTCAGTTCCTGGACCCTGCCTACCTCCAGGGTGAGGCTCCCGCTGCCAGAGCTGATTCAGCCAAGTTGACACAATGTATCAACTAACACAATCCACCCCTTGTCAACTTGGCAACTAGACATATACTTTTTTAAGCCAATTTCCAGGTACACAGACATACTTAACATTTTACAAATTGAACATTGCATTACATTAGAACCATGACATGCTACCCCTGGCCCTCCAAAGACTCATGCACAACCGTTTATGCAAAAGACATTTTAGTCCATCTCTAAGAGTTGCCAAAGTTCCTACCAGTTTCAGCAACACTGAAAAGTCCAAGTCTCAAGCTTCCAAGATCTAAGGCAAACTCTTAGCTGTGAGCCCCTCTACAAATGAAAAGTTAAACTCTTCCAACATTCAAAGGCACAAGATAAGCATTGCCATTCCAAAAGGGATA